CAACGGGTATGGGAAGGGGGAAACTCTCGCGAATTTTTCCCAGGGACTTTTTCGACGCGGCCGACGCCGTCGCGAGGCGCCGGGCGTCGCGAAGGGACGTCTGCGTTCGAACGGGGTGTTTCGCAGGATTTGAGCTTGCAACGGGTGTGCGTTTTGAAGGTCGTTTTTTTCTGCTAGGCGTTTCGCGCTCGTGGTTTCTATGGCGAAAACGCCGTAACTCCAATACAGCGACTTCTCCAAAAATTTTGGGGCACTTTTTTTTTGACAAGGTCAAGGATTTCGTAGGCAGGGCGCGTGGTCGGACGCAATCGGCGCGGCTTGCGCTTGGTAGGGCTCGGCCCTTCGAATTCGATCTTGCGAACGGCCGGCGGGAGTTGAGAAGAACGACATCGAAACCAGACATTTTCGAGCCCGCGGGGGCGTTGGACGATTTTTGGCTTGCAACGGGTCTAACCTTTCCACGTCGTTTTCGACTTCGTGTCGTTTTGGCCTGGGCCCTATAGGCGGCGACAAAACGAGACGATGTTGCATCGAAAACGGGTCGTGGCCAGATTTGAGACTAGAAGCTTTTTGCAAGCGGGGCGCTTCACTTTGGAAACTTTCCGGTGTCCCGGTTCGAGCGGTCCGGCGCGCCGGTTTCGCCCCTGAAAACGGTGCACAAACACGAGGCTTTGGAGCCTGGCGGTGGGCGACGGGCCATAGGAGACCGAAACCCAACAGCGTCCTCCGTTGGAAGCAAAACAAGAGCAGGGCGCAGCAAGAGCGCTCGGAGGCGAGAAGGCAAAAAACGACGAAGGAGACACGATCTGACCAATATAGGGGGGGGGAGGGCGGCGCAACAATTCGAAATTCGACCTCGGAACGTCAAACGCTTGAAGCGTAGATGTCTGCAAGGTCTGATGCTTCGAGGCGCGGCGGTGACATCCCTGTCCGACGGGGGTCTGCCTCATCGTGGCGGACAGGTCTAGTACCCACGTCTCCCATGGGACGTGGGGAAGCCAAAAGACCCCCAACAAGGAAGGCGCGGCCGTCTGCGCGTGACTTCCCAGGCCCGTTGCCGTCGACGTCGAGCCGACGGCCAGGAGCGGCCAGCAAGTGCTCTTTGCTTCATGCCAATAGGAGCCACCGGAGAAGAAGCAGAAGGCAGGGGCTTTGTTTTTCTGAACGAATTTGGTCGACAGGGTATACGAGGTGTGTTTTCAGGTGACGTGCCCTGGTGCCGGTTTTTGTTTCCTTGGTCCTTCTTCTTATGGGTTCTTGTAGTGCCATTCGCAAGCGACCGGTCCAGTGCCTGCAGGCACACTGCTCCAGCTGTGCCAGTCTCTGCAGTGCCTGCAGTCAAGCTGTGCCAGCTGGAAGCCGGGCAGTCTCTGCAGTCACACTGTTTCATCTCAAGGCCGGACAAAGCTTGAATCCGTCAAAAATTTTTTCGGCGGCTTCGCCGCCGACGGCCGTTTTGGATATATGTGTAAAAATTTTTCAAAATGCTGCCGCTTGTGCTTTGGCAGGCCTCCTGGTTTTTCAAACGGAACGAGCTGAAAGACGAAAGCCATTTTTGGGCCCTGCGCGGCCCCGGAGCAAACAGTTCCCCAGTAAACAAAATGCTGTGCATTTTTCCGCTGCCATTTTTGCTCGTCCTCGGCTGTCGACGCCGGCGCGGAACCCCAGAGAGAGAGAGAGAGAGAGAAAGAACAGGAAGACGAAAAGTCGATTGTGAAAATTGGAGAGCTTCAGTACAAAAGTTCCACGTTATGGCAAGGGGGAAATGCTGCCCAAATTTTGCCAGGGTCGTTTTCGTCGGGCCCGGCGCGACCTCGAAGAGCGGGGCGTTTGTTCGCCGACTTGTGCACTCAAACGGCGCGCTTCGAAGATTTTGGCTTGCGACGCGTGTGTGTTTTACATGTGCTTTTTTCACGCTGGGCGTTTCGCGCTGGAAGGGCCTAAGGCGACGACGCGCGAACTCGAATACAGCGACTTGTGGAAAAATTTCCTGCTACCAATTTTTCTGGCCAAGCAAAGATTTCACAGGCAGGGCGCTTGGGTGCACGATCGTGGCGCGACGGGCGCTCGATAGAGTGCGGCCTCGGAAAATCTATCTTGGGAACGGCCGGCGGCATTTGAAGAAGACACCAGTCAAACCGGAGACGTTCGACCACAACGTGGCGTTTCATGTTTTTTGGCTTGCAAAGCGCCTATAATTTGAAGGGCATTTGTCGGGGCCATGTCGTTTTGGCTCGGGCCGTCTGTGCGGCGCTGAAGCGCGCAAAGTTTTGAACCGAGAACGGGTCGCGACGAAGTCGGGCCTGTGCAGCTTTTTGCAAGCAGGGCGCCAGGGTTTCCGAACTTCGTTGGCTTCTCGTGGTGATGGGTCCGGCTCGCCGGTCTGGCCGCCAAAAGCGGCGCACGAACAGAAGGTATCAGAGCCTGCCGGTGGTGCAGTGGCCATATGAGACCGGAACACTAAGTTTTACGTGGCTAGAAGCAAAACAAGAGCGGGGTGCAGCAAAAGCGTCCCACCGCGACAAGGCCGAAAACGACGAAAGAGAGACAAAGCGACCAATCCAGGGGGGGGAGGGCGGCGCAACAAATCGAAATCGGACGTGGCAAGGCCCAAGGACCATCAAGACAGAAAGCCATAGGTGGACGAACACGCCCGTGACGGAGACCCTGGGGAAGCGGCCCCGCCTGGGTAAACAAAAACCCCCGGGGTCGATGAAGTCACGGGGCGTGCCCAGGCGCCGGGGGGGGTCGCCAGGCCTAGACGCGCACAAAGAAACTAGACGCGGAAAGCTTTTTTCACCAAAATGCGTTCTATATGTCCGCTTGTATGTGCCTTTCCCATGGTCTTGCCTACGTTCTCTCGGATTTGTGCTTCTATGTTATCTCGCAGTCATGCTCTCATATGTGTGCACAGATGTGCTCTCACAGGTGTGCTTGCAGATGTGTGCGCTCATATCTGTCCAATCCCGTCAGGTCTGTGCTATGAGTTTGGCCTGCGAACGGATGGCGCGTGGGGGTTCCCAGCCTAGTGCTGCACACGTTGTGCTAGTTGTAGGTATGGTGCTGTTTTATAGATGCATGTGGTATAGAATTCATTTTGCTTTGTGTACCTGACTGTTTTCCATCCAGGTTTTTTTTCAGTCCCCTGCACAACGTTGGAAGTGGCAATGTATCAAGCCCCGCAGCCGTCTGAACGCCTCGATTCCTTCGCGCGTCTCCCCCTTGGTGTCGGCCTTGCCAGAACCTTGGCTCGAGTTTGCAACCTTTTGGCCCTCTCATCCGTTCGTTTTATTTTTGCTGTGCCCAAAAAAGAAGCGACGACGACGTGTAACGCACGTGCTTCGGTTTTTTGCCTTTGTTTGGCGCAAGTGTATAACATCGACAGACCCTCTTCTTTGCGCCGAACCTTGAGGCAATGCCTGCGGCCATGGCCTTGGAGTTAGCTATGATGACGGTGGTCTTGGACCACCTCTCGTGGCCAACCGGCCTCGCGGTCGCAGCAATCTGCCGGGCTTGGTGCGCGGAAACCGCAGACGTGATCCGGGCGTCAGCCTGGAAGTGGCAGGTGCCACTGCCAAATGAAGGTTCTCCCGGCATGCTCCTGCGAGCGCTCTACCGAGGCATCGGCCTGGCCGACCTCGTCCGGATGCGGACAGCAAGCACGTTTGAGCGGTTCGAAGAGGGCCTCAGGGTCGCCGTTTTTGGCGCGGTGGGGCAATGGGCAAATTTACCTCCGTTGTGCGTTTCCCGTTGCCCTGCAGAATGGGAGAAACTTCCTGAGGAGGCTTGGTGGCTTGCCCGGAAAGGAACCGGACACACGTGGCGGTTTCAACGCTTCTACGTGGACATTGGGGGTGCCTCGCCACGAAATGATGCAGGAGCGCTGGACGCTCGAAGTCTTCGTGGAGCGATTCTGCCTCCAAATTTCCAAGCAGGAAAGCGAGTTCGTGACGACTGTCGCAAGCCCTGCGTCCGAGTGGATGGAGGAGGGGGCAGAATGGTCCGAGGAGTCCTAAGAGGCCGATGGTCTAGCAACCAAAGGTTTTATTCGCCTGTGCACAAAGCCAGCTGCGAACTTAGAGACTGGACAGAGAGAATGGAAAAGCATGGTGCCTTTTTTTCGTCTTCTTTACCCCCTGGTAGTGTAATGTAAGGACACCAGCAAGAGAGAGACAATGCTTTGTGTGGCATGGTCGTCTGCGACGCGCTTCCATATGTGTGCTTTCATATGTGTGCTGTCCTATCTCGACCCCGAAGTGCTCTCAAGTGTACGTTGCCGTGGCGCTCTTATGTGTATTTTCTCAAGCATGTGGTCGTATCTGTGAATGGCATGCGCAAATGGTTCTCACTGGTACCCTCTCTTCTGTATGTTTTCACCTCTAGGCGTCAGTGTGCTTTCCAAGCAGTACCTGTAGGCGCTTGCATATTTGCTGTCAGACGTGTGCTCCAAGGAGATATGTGTGCTCGCATGTTCTCCCGACCTGTGCTCTCATACGTGCACTCTCACACTCGTGTGCGTGCATGTGGCACGGCCTGCGAAGCAGCTGAATGCGTAATGAAGCTTTTTCGTGTTTCCCTTGTGGCCCGAGCAAAAACAGTCATTCGTGGCGCAAGCCCAGAGCGGCGAAAACGAGACGTGGAAGAGAGATTTTTTAGACATGCGTGCCGGCAGAGCGACGTTCTGTTTTTCGGTTTGCGCGCCGATCCACCCAGGCGCACAGACACAAGGCGCCAGACCGGGAGCACAGACACAATGCTCCTGACTGGAACTTCGGCTTCGAGGCGCGGAGTGTGTGCTCTTCTGTGTTTTGCTGTGTGCTTTATCAGCTTCAACCCTTGTAGTGGCATGTCAAGACACCAGCAGGAGAAAGACAGTGCTTTGTGTTTCATGGTGCACGGAGAGATTTTTTTTGCTTGAATGTGCCAGCTTGGACCAAGTGGAAGCAGCTCTCTCTGTGAAAAAGGCCGAAGCAGAGCCGTGCCGCCATGGGTGGACGCAGGGGAGACAAGGGCGGAAAGCAGACGCCATGGGGCGCGGTCGCGAAAGGCAAGGGCCTTGGAGTCGGCGGCCCGCGAGCCGTTCCGATGTCGGAAACGTTCCACATAGCGGCTCTGCGCCCCTACCCCGGCGCCGACGGAGAGTGGCTGGTCAAGCGGGGCGGCGCGCGCAATGACGCGGAGGTCCTGGACACGCAACAGATGGCCGGCAGACTGACGGCGGCCAACTGCGAGGCTGTCGCACGGCCAGCCAAGTGGATCAGCATGGCGGCGGGCACCATTCGCCAGTGCCACAAAGTGATGAAGTTCGTGGAGCACGATCCACGGCTCACCGGCCTGCCGCAACTGGCGCAGCTGTTCGACGACGCGCTTGCTACGGCCGCGCAGGCCCTGGACACTACGCAGAGCCGGTGCGAGACGGCGGAATGCCAACAGGCACTGACGACGCTCTTGGGCCACTTCAGTGACGCGGACTCGCTGGAAGCATGGAAGCGGGCAGCGCTCTATGCTGCCAACGTCTACAACTACAGTATGCAATGCCTGCAGGCGGGGCACATGAGGGTAGGTGGCTGAACCAGGTTTTTTTTTTTGGTCCGCCTCACTGGGGTATACGGTTTTTTTTTACGGTTGTTGAAAAAACGTGCATGCTACCTGGCAGGCACATGCGCTGTTGAGCCACCGCATGACCTGGACGAGCGAATTGGCGAAGCACATTGCGTCGATGCCAGAAGTGCGTCCCTTCTTACAGGCACCAGAGAATGACGAGGTGCTTCTGGAGACGTTGGTCGCTTTGCTGGCCAAAGACCACGTCGGGGGAGGTGCGGAAACCTCCGACCCGCTGTTGGGCGGCAGCACGCTGCCGTGGACGCAGACACCACAGGTCGAGGGTGTACCGCCTTTTTTTGGGTTGGCTGCTCCAAAGAAGGTCCTGTTCGGCAAGCGGCCGGCGGAGGCGGCGCCACCTGTGCAGCCGCCGCTCAAGATGGCGCGTGCCAAGGCATCGGCTCCGGGCCCCACATCGGCGCAGGTGGAACGCCAGCGACAGGAAGACGGACTCGCCCAGGTCCTGGCGTTCTTGGGTGAGCCCTCGAGCGACCAAGCAGCCACCGCCGCAGCCTTTTTGGACCAGCTCCACCAGGTCAAAAGCAAGGCTGGAATTCCCGAAGAGTTGCGTCGGGGCGGGCTCTTCGTCCTGGCATACACGGGGGAGAAGTTTCCGGCGGACCAGAAAACAGCTGAGTTGGAGGAGCTCATGAACGAGCTGAAGGCAGCGGAAGTCCCGCAGGAAGCGCAGCAAAAGCTGGAGCTGAAAGAAAAGCTCTTTCTAAGCAAACTTCTGCCCGCGGAGAACTTGGCGGTCTTCGTGGAGAACCTCGTGGGGGCGTGCACTGCCGTACCCGGGCCGAAACATGACCAGCTCAGGGCGGCGCTGGAACAAGTACCCTCGAGCCTGCGGCTCCTGCTTGGCTTGCCTGCGCCAGGGAAGTACAGCAGGCAGAAGGCACACGGCTGGGAGCGCGACTTCAGCCGCATGCTGGCACTTGCTGCAGCTGGCTTCCGAGCACACTACGATGCGCTTCTGTGCCCAGACAGTCCGGCCGAGGTCCAGGAAGCGGAGGAGGAAGAGGAGGAGCCGGAGGACACGCTGGACGCAGACGTGGCGGCGGCGCTGGCGCTGGGGCCGTAGAGTTTCCGGGTAAACGCACCTGTTCCGGCCACCTCCGAAAATTCATTTGTTTAGCGCTAGTTATGTGGACTAGAGAACCTTGGTGTTCCAAGCAGGGTCTTCGTGATGTTGCCATATAACTCGTGTTTTTCCCCAAACAGTTTACTGTTAGGGGTTCTCAATGCTTTAAAGAATGGTCGCCTTGGTGCTGGATGGTCTGGTCGGGTTTCCGGCTGGCTTGTCTCCCACTTCCTTTCATATGTCTCCCACTTCTTTTCATTTGTCTCGCTGGGTGCTTGTGGTCGGGTTTGCGGCTGGCTTGTCTCCCACGTGCATTCATTTGTCTCCCACTTCCTTTCATTTGCCTCCCAATTCTTTTCATTTGTCTCCCAGGCCACTTCCTTTCATTTGTCTCCCACTTCTTTTCATTGTCTTCCAGGCTGGGTGTGGTCGGGTTCCGGGCCGGCTTGTCTCCCACTTCCTTTCATTTGTCTCCCACTTCTTTTCATTTGTCTCCCAGGCTGGGTGCTTGTGGTCGGGTTCCCGGCTGGCTTGTCTCCCACTTCCTTTCATTTGCCTCCCAGGCTCGGTAGGCTGGGTGCTTGTGGTCGGGTTCACTTCCTTTCATTTGTCTCCCAGGCTCGGTGCTTGTGGTCGGGTTCCCGGCCAGCTTGTCTCCCACTTCCTTTCATTTGTCTCCCACTTCTTTTCTGCTTGTGGTCGGGTTCCCGGCCGGCTTGTCTCCCACTTCCTCTTATTTGTCTCCCACTTCTTTTCATTTGTCACCCACTTCTTTTCATTTGTCTCCCAGGCTGGGTGCTTGTGGTCGGGTTCCCGGCCCGCTTGTCTCCCACTTGCTTTCATTTGTCTCCCGGTTCTTTTCATTTATCTCCCAGAAATGCTTCATTTGTCTCCCAAGTCCGTCATGCCATGTAGCATTTCTATTCATTTGTCTTTGTCACTGCTAATTTCCGCCCTTTTCCGCTGGCCATGCAGCATTTCTATTCATTTGTCCCCCAGGCTTGTCACTGGTGGTGTCCGCCCTTTTCCGCTGTTTCTATTCATTTGTCTCCCAGGTCTGTCACTGTAGGTGTCCGCCCTTTTCCGTTGGCCATGTAGCATTTCTATTCATTTGTCTCCCAGGTCTGTCACTGCCAGTGTTTTGTCTCCCAGGTCTGTCACTGCTGGTGTCCGCCCTTTTCGTCGGCCATGCAGCATTTCTATTCATTAGTCTCCCAATTCTGTCACTGTTGGTATCCGCCCTTTTCCGCTGGGCATGCAGCATTTCTATTAATTTGTTTCCCGGGTCTGTCACTGGTGCTGCCGCCCTTTTCCGCTGGCCATGTAGCATTTCTATTCATTTGTCTCCCATGTGACTTCTTTCTTTTTGTCTTTCAGTTTGGTGCCTGCACTGCTGTTTTCTGCCCTGTCCGCTGGAACAGGTTCGCCTGTGAAAGGTTCTTGCTCCTTTGCAAGGGGTGCGTGACTGTCTCCGGGATTGCATTCCTGCCACACTGTGTAACTCTCTCAGCTTTGTTTTCCTTCTCGGGCAACCGTTGGATGAATGACCGGATTGGATTTCGGCGGCGTGGCAGCGATCTCTCTATTCAGTTGGGGCGGAGGGCATATGTCAGGCGCCAAAAATCAATTTCATGTCACATCCTTCGCTCCTCATGCTTTTGTTTCTTGTCCTCACGTGGTCAGCTCCCCGCTGACTGAGCAGCATGACCAGCATCATGTTCGCGCTTGAAGAATAATTCCCCAAAAGGTTTACTGTTAGGGCTTCTCACTTCTTTCTTAAGATGTGTCCCCCCGCTCTGTACTGCTGTGTCCGTCTCTGCCTTGCAATCCTTTACATTTATCTCCCAGCTCTGGACGTCGCAAGCTCTAGTTTCGATTTTGAAAAACACAAACTGTTTGGGGTCTACGGTGGTGTAATTTTTTTCGGGGCCTGAACAGCGTGGCCGGTTCGGTGCGCGCCCGAAGAGGTCCTCGGCTGGGTGCCCTCGTCGTCAACGACTCGTAGAGCCAAGCAACAGGTACTTCTGTAGTTTGTTTCGGTTCTGTTTATGTAGCTTAGTCACGGCGGCGAGGCCCCAGCCGAGGACCTGAGAGTGGCTCGAGTAGCTTCCCATGCGCTTGCCGGGTTTTGTGTGTGTGTGTCGTATGAAAAACAGGTGGGAACCCAAAAGCAACAAGAGCAGTGCAAGAGCCTGGAAAGCGTACGTTAGACAGTAGCTGCGCGGAGCCGTGTTGTGGCAAAAGGAACCGACCATGTTTGGGCGCAAGCAAGAACAGAGGCAACGTCCTTCCTTCAACCTGTTTTCGACCTGGCGATCCGCCGGCTCCGTCTCGTTCTCTGCCAGGCGCACGTCGTCTTCGTGGACCTCGTCTTCTTCGTGGCCCCGGCGGACGTCCTCGTCGTCTACCTCTTCGAGGCGCGGTGGCCGGGGTCTAGGGCGCCCCGGCAGCATCCTCCGAACGGAAGGGGCTGGCCGCCCTGGCTGGGTGCTTTGGCGCCCAGCCGAAGGCCGAGAGAGCCGCAGAGCCTCGACGAAAGAAAAGTGCGCGCGGGGCAGCTGAGTGGAGAGGTTTACTGGAGAATAGGTTTGCTCGTTGAACGCGAGTGGATCAGTTGTGTGGACAAGTCGACTTGCTGGATCGCTGCTTGAAAGCAAACAGGAGTAGAATGCTCTGGCAATTGCATGCGTGAGGCTTTAGCTTTAGCTTCAGTTGTTGGTTAGGGCCGTTGACGCTTTTTTTGGTAACCAACAGATACAGGATACCAGACACATACTTGCAAGACACACATACACACATGTGCGCAGTGCGCGCGCACGGACAGACACAGACACACACGGACACGCGGCACAGCACACCCACTGCACGCACTGACAGAGGATGGCAGGCTCTTCGCGTGACACGCGGGTCGTAGCCTCAGATCGTCTATCGCTTAACTTGATACTACAAAAAGCTTTTGGTTCAAAAGCTGAGCAGGTGCCCAACGTCGATGTCGAGGACGAGAACTTCGCCGCGGCGGTGCAAGCAGCTCTGGACGAGGCACAGGCCAGGCGGCACAGCAGGACTTGCCAGAGAAACCCCATTTTCGTTCGTTTGCCTTGGCAGGAGCCCGCTGCGAAGAAGCAGAAGGCCCGTCATCGATGCCCTTTTTTTTCCAGCTTGCACGTGTCGACCACGCTTCTGACAGGTGAGACAAGGAAGCCAAGGTGGACATAAATTTTGCCAGGGCCTTGATGGGGCTTCATGCATCTTCGGCGCCAACGGCGCCCGGGCCCGACCCCATGGACCGCGACAATGCTTGTTTTGCGACGTGAAACGCTTGAATGACTCGTTTTTGGAGCCCAGCTCAAGCGTGGCATTGCTGAAGCGGTATGGCCGTTTGACTGCGGCCGGGCAGCTCCTGGCTCTCGAGCGCGTGGAAGACCCAGGGTTTCGGCAATGGCTGCAGCACAGGGGCAGCGCTGCCGCGTCGCAGCCGCAGAGGCCGGCACCGGCTGCGAAAGCTCGGAGCTCACAACGGCCTGCGACAGTGGA